TCGCAACTTGAAAACAAGCATTTGCGGGGAAAGTTATTAAACATAAATAAATTGGGAAATCTGTTTTAAAATGAAAAGACTTAAAGACAGGACAAAGTGCTTTAAAACCTACAAAGGGAAGTCATTTGGGTTTTTTAGGTTTTTCTTTATAGTATTTTTACCAAAAATGCGTCTTTACTGGTCCATGCGTCTTTACTGGTCAAGTAACCCTATCAGGTACCTCCATAACGTTAGAGGCGAAAACAAACATTTATCCCTACACATCAATGTCAAATCAACAACACTTCAGTTAATTTGTCACAGTACAAGTCTAGATAATGTGTAATTACTACAAAAAATTGGAGAGGAATCTCCCATACTCACCCATTAGCGGAAAACACAGCTGTTCTGATGTAAACAAAGGCGTGTTGAGTGTTGGGCCATCTATGGTTAGGTTTTTTTTACTTTTATTTTATTTTATTTCATTATTTATTTTTGTTTTGATTAATTTTTAAAAATCAATTTTACTCTCCAAAACACTTGAATTTTTTAGGTAGGACCCCTTTTGCAACTTGCACCATGTGCGCAGTCTTGGATGAGCCCCTGAACCCCTTGGACTGGGGGGCCCCCAAATGCGCGGGGCCCTAGGCAAATGCCTAGTTTGCCTATGGGGTAATCCGGCCCTGAATGTGCCTATGAGGGAAAGGAATAGTAATTCGTCCAAATTAAAGGACAAAATATGTAAAGATTCCCCTGGAGATGATGTGCCAAAATGTAGTAATGTATTGGGATTAACTTGGGATACTGAGAGAGATTTGTTAATGTTAAAACCTAATAATTACAGTATCTGAATTTTCCCATATGTTTTGATCCACTAGGTTTAGTGTCACCCCTTACTATAAGAGGAAAATTTATTAATTCAGGAAGCAGGAAACTTAAATGTGCTTGGGATGAAATTCTACCTGAGGAATTCATAACAGGGGGATGAATTTAATTTGGGTGATTATGAGAAAATTCCAATGTTGGAGTTCCCACGCCGGGTGGCCAATCCCAAATGGGAAAAATGTACTCCACATTTTTTGTGATGCTTCAAAATTGGCATATGGAGCAGTTGCTTATCTTCAATGTAATAGTGTTATTTCTCTTGTTATGTCTAAGGCTAAAGTGTTTTCCAATTAAATCATGCACCTTGCCTCATTTGGGAAATTTAAAACAGCCATTTATGTAGGTGTGAAATTAGCTAATTATATAAAAAAAAGTTGCATGAGATAAATATTAGCGACACCGTAATTGGTCTGATAATGAGGTATCCTTACAATGGATTTCGTAATGGAAACAATAAAATTATGTACGTACATAACAGAGTCACTGAAATTAATCAGATGCAAGAGAAGTATAATATTTGGGTCAGCATATTTTAACATTTAATCATATACCTGGTGAGGAGAATCCAGCTGATTTCTTGTCTCGAGTTTACCTTTGCTAAATTTGTAATGCGGTATCAGGGTTAAAGGACCGAGTTGGTTGGTAAATAAAGCTAATTGGCCTGTACAAAAGGCGTATATTGCTCCTGTTGAAATTACTGTGACCACCGCTCCAATAGTTTGTCCTCCTTAGCCATTGATATAAATAGGTATTCTTTCTTACCCAAACTAATCAATGTAACTAAGTTGGTGTTTAAATTTCTAAGCAAGATGAATATTTCATTTAAGTTTTCACATCCTCTTGAATATTGGAAAAAGAGGGTACAGGAGGAAATTATGGAAATGAGATTAAATTGATGAGGAAAGAAAAATTGTGAAAGGTTCCATAATAGAGAAATTTGGGGCTGTATTTAGAGAACAGTGTAATTAGGTGCAGAGGTGGGTTACAAAATGCTGAATTGGGTGATTATGCTAAAAAACCCTATCTTACTGCCCAAAACTCATCATCTAAACAAATTTGATTGTTCCAATTTGCCCATAAAAATGTAATGCATGGTGGGGTACAAGATACCTTAAATTGTAATTGGGGAAAAACTTTCGGATTCCACAAGGAGGGCAAAGTGTAAAAAGGGTGATTAAATCTTGTGTAATATGTCGCTGTGTGGATGCCAGATCCTATATGTACCCAGGCCCCTCCACCATTGCCAAAGGAGCATGTACAATTAGTGAAACCATTTGATGTAACAGGTGTAGACTATAGTGGTCCAATAATTTAACAGGTACATCAAATGGTGTTTCCACTGAAGTGTATGTTTTGTTTGTTCACCTGTACTGCTACAGGCAGTTCATTTAGAAGTGGCACAGGACTTGTCTCAGAACAGTTTATACAGCTGTTTCGAAAATTTGCGGCCCAGGAGATCCTGTCTGAGGTTGATGATTTTGGATAATGTCACAAATTTTGTAGCAGGTGCTCAACACTTGATAGAATTAAATAATAGTAACGATGTTCAATCTCTGTTAACCCAGCGAGGGTGTACCTGGAAAATTTATTACTCCTAGAGCCCCCTTTGGGAGGGGTGCTTGTATGAAAGACTGATAGGCACAGTGAAGAGGTGTCTCCGCAAAGTACTACACCGGAAGAGAAAATTAATTTGGAAGAATTCCGTGCAGTGTTAGTGGGGGCAGAAAATCGTATAAATAAAAAGGCCTCTCTCGTACATGAGTGAACACCTGATGCAGATGTATTAACACCTTTTCACCTAATATGGAAGGAAATTGGAAGCTGCCCGTCAATAGAGAAATCCCGAAGAAAGTGAAGAAGATTACAAGAAGCAAGCAGTGTTGTGTGATAAATTTAAATGTTAATTGAAGTAATTGATCATTGGTCTAATGGTTGGCGAAAGGAATTCTTCTTACACTATTGAACACTTTTATGGTGCGACAGAGGCATGTAAATCGGGCAGACCATTCAACCAGTTACATTGTGTTAACTGACACTGAACAACATCGAACATTGTGGCCTCTGGGCAAAGTATTGACTTGTACCCAGATGCACAAGGAGTCGTCAGGAAAAGTCAAAGTGTTGTGTCGGCCAGGAAAGTTTACACACAATTAATAAATTGATTCCCTTGGAGTTAGGTGTTCAATCAAACGTAAATGAAAATCTGAGGAAAAGTGACACGAGTGATATGGAAATAACGTTGACCAAGTGATGCCGGAAAATGAAAATCGTAGTAAGTCCTACTAGGAGAACAGCCACTCAAGCCAGAACCGGCTGGAATTGTCTCCTAAAGGAAGGAGTAATTTGAGTCGTTTAGCAACGAAACCCGGCTGGCTGCAGTGTGGAAAATACTGTATTATTTTTTCCGGAAATATGGTAATTTATAGGGAAATAGATGGCCTATACTGTATTAATAATATTTGTCATAGAAAACTGAAAGCCTGTATCTGGGCAGGAGACTCGCCATCTTGGTTTTGAATTTTGTACAAACGTGGTGTAATGGGAAAAAATTTTTCGTGCTTAGAGGTTAAAATTGTGTTTTACACCTCTCAAATAGGAGGCAAAATTTGGGGGATGTGCATTCCTGCATAACTTGAGATACCAGCCCACTGGACAAGACAGCTCCAGGAAACCTCAGAAAGCTCTCTAATTTGTGTGTAATTCTGGCCAGCATTTTTTTCATAGATTTAGTTAGAGTAAGTTTTCTGAGTATGATACACATTAATCTCCACAAATTGGTGGGGTGATATTAAGATTATTTTCCTTCTGTTATGTAAATTGTGTATATATATATATATATAAATATATATATATAATATATATATATATAACCATTTTTTTATTTTTAATATACAGTCCACAAATTTATATATTTACCAGTATTCCTGGTTATGTATATTTCATTTAATTTAAAAGGTCCAAAAGCAACTTGTGGTTATGACAGTGGTAGGTATCGAAGGGGAACATTTTTTGCGACCTAGGTGTCCCCAAAATTTCCCACTTGTCTATGTAACATTGATAAATAATAATTATCTTTGTTATCAATTTACTGTTATGTACATAATTAGTTACATTCAGATAAATGCAATTTTCCACAAGCATGTTGTTGGAGTCATTATAAGAAATGTAATTTTCCACAATGCTCATTGGAGAACCAGGTATAGATACTCAAAAATCAGGGACAAAGGAATTAATGTACAATTGCTATGGATCCCATTCCTCATTCGATTACTCCTTCATGATAAAGGTGATATGTTAGCCAAGAAGAGTACCTAGAAGAGAAATGTAGAATATAACTTTGGTATATCTGTGTCTAGCATTAGGAATAATATTAAGAGAGAAGTAATAATGAAAATGATTGTTATAGGAATGCAGTTAGAAGCTTTAGTAGATCTATAACCCACTATGATAACATGAACGTAGGTAAATGTGTCTATGGAGCAACTTGCAATGTGAACAGACTGACTGATGTTGTAGTGGCCAGGCTTAATCTTGGTTATAAGTACTTCTGGCAGATTGGGAGACACACAGATGATAATCAAACTGTATGCAAATTATGTGATCAGGCATATGATCACTGTCTTTAAACACTATGTGCCTAATTGTACACTTAGTGAGGAATAAGAGACAGACAGTATAATAACCTGTGTGACATGTCAAGATGTCTTATTAATGAAAATAAGATAACAGATATACTAAGCAAATTTCCTAAATTTGCTGTAACAGAAAAGTGAACTGTAGATATGTAGATAAATAAAAACCCATATGTACACCTGTTAAACCTTTTGGGGCCTAGTTCCTAGGCCTTTTGTGTATCCATATACTCTTGCGCTACCGTCCACAGGATGGATATGGGGTGCACAATAAACTAGCCACTTTGGTGGCAAAATCTAAATCTAAAAAGCGTAAAAAAAATAAAAGTTAGCTCCACTATATGTTTTTAGACTTATAATGATTCTGATTTATCTACTAATGTATGAACGTGTATGCGTAAAATATTTTTTTTCTGGGCCACTATCATATGGTGATGATGATGGTGTCTGCAGGAAGGTTGAGGTGCTGAGGGTCTGTCTTGGTCAACGTGATGGACAGCTGTGGCTCCGACAAATGAATGGTTGTAACCTCGACTTCAAGGTATCTCGTCTTATTCATACTCGAATCCTTCTATAGTAACTCTGCCTTTTTCAAATTAGTATGCTTTGTATGTTTGTATATATGTATTACCTGTCCATCATTTTTTTTATATTTTAGAAAATCATATCTATTTTTCCATTAATTTTTTTGTTTAAATCAACGTACCTTGCTTCTAATGTCACCAATGAGTGCGTATAAAACACCATAATTTTTTTATATGGAAATTTGTTGTTTATTAAACTTTTTGGTACAGTAAACGTACCACTCACTACCTGATGAATGAGACATTTACGCAACACTTCAGTATCTTTATACCCAAATGTTGCACAAATGTCTTATTCACCACCTTGTCGATTTTTCTGAACCATTTATCTACAGTACCACTACCTACTTTAAAAAAAACATGAGTACAAATGGGGGTCATTTTAAAATATGGTGGGTACGATATCCCGTATGACATGACAGTTGTCTTATGTATGAATAAATTTAACAGATTGTGGAACAAAGAAAGACGGAGGAAGTGGAGGAGGAGCTGACTCACTACATCTACAACACATCTGAGGGACCCATGTGGTGTGTGAGGCCTCCCGCCCTGCCACCTACACCATCCTCCACCGATCTGGATTCGATTTTCTCTCATAATAACGCTCTCATGCTTGGTATCCACCATTCGTTAGCTGACGGGTTCACTAATATCAATATCTGCAACCTGGTGCATACCATTCTAGACGATATGGTTGCCGGTCGCCCCGTGAACGACGAACAACAGGTGGGGAAGCTTGTTGGTGACGAGCAAACTCAGAAACTTTACGAAGAGCAAAGGCAAAAGTTGTTGGGAGATCCGGAACTCAAGGAAAGAGTCAGAAAGGAGTTTCAGGATGGTGCCGATACTCGTCCTCTTTTCCTGGATGCCTTTTCCTTTTTCAGGACGAACCGATGTGAAAACCTGCTTTGTTAATATTCAATTCGACAAGAATCTAACGTATTCTTTTCGTCGAAAGTGCAAAGAAGAGGGAGTTACCTTCACTCTGGACTCGTAGGTGTCATCACGCCAACCCTCATTAATCTACTTAATGATCATTTGCGAGGTGCCACATGAAATTAATTTTCGGGCCGGGCATGACAATCAATTTAAAGACGGTATTATGAAGTGACACCACAGGTATTCATGGAAAATCATATCCCTACATTTGGCTTCAAGACCTCTTTCAAAACCTCTAAACTCTAATGCCAATTTTTGGCCTACAGTAAAGAGTTTCACAAAAAATTTACATTCTCATTTAATTGAGCGCCGCCCCCTGCAAGTTGTGGCTCTTAAGTTGATGGAAAAATCAAAATCTGAAATTTTAGATGGATATTTTACAACCCAAATGGGACGCCTGACAGCTATTACACTATATCAAATATGGGTGACGTGACGCCATTGTTCACTGGTTGAAGTGACTGTGTGAAGGGTTGTGAACTCACTCGACTCTCATCTATACGATGCATGAACAATTTCATATGTTTTTATGCCCACAGCCTCAATGGACGCCTGGACTTAAACTATGGGGTTTTCAAAAACCGTTTCTTGGACCATAAGTTTCCCAAAGGAGTTCATGGACATGATGAGCGTTAACATGACAACTTTGAGTTCATCATGATTTTGATCCATCAGTGAGATGGATGAACCACTCCGAATTATGAGAGTGCCCTTTCTGTTTTATATGGCTAGTAAGTACTTTCAGATGAACATTAAACATAGTGAATTAATAGGAATAAAATTCTATTGCTATATTCTCATCTAGTTATCTTTCCCCAGCTAGGCTACTGGGGCTTGTATATTGTTCAGTTAAATAAATAATATAAATATTTTTTTTTTACATCGTCATGATTCCCCCATAGATTCCCCAAAAGATGCTCTCTCTTTCCCTCTCTGTAACTCTTTTGGATTCATCAGTCCAACACAGAGCAAGTGAAAATGAGAAGTCTGAGGTAACCAGTCCAGGCTGATGTTATCAGTCCCTCATTTCCAGGGTGAGAGACTGCCTCAAACTCTTCATGTTCTACGGTTCGTCTCAGTTGGACTGATGAAGCCATGGCTGCTGAGACGTTTCCACGATAAATTTCCAAAGTGTGGCAAAAAATTTTAAATTTTAATCAAAACTAAGCGCTAAAACCCCCAGGGTCATACAGAAAGTGGGCATAGATGTCTTATTTAGTTGAGGAAGTCCCCCTCCTCGACATCACCTTTTCAATAATTCTTTTAGGTTCAAAAAATTTCAGAAAGCCTATAAATAAAAACGATCTCATTAACTTTTCTCCATTCAGGACACCAACAAATCGAGGCATTGTAACATTTTTTTTTTTCTAAGAGGTTTTCCCCCATCGGCACCCCAGAGTTTCCTATAAAAAATTTTCAGAGCCCATTTTCCCCACTTTTTTTCATGGAACTCCCACAACGTGTCGTCCAATTTAACCCTCCAAAAACGACCCGGGGGCCTTCCTAATTTAAAAAGAAAAAAAAAAATTCTTTACACACTCGCCCGGGGAACCATCAGACTTACAAAAACAAAAATTTAACACTCAAAAAAAAGTAAGTCTTTTGGGGTACATTTACAAACATTACAGATGTCAAGCTATTTTAGTAATAATTTAAATGTAAATACCTAGGAAAACTCCAAAAAAAACTTCAACAATGTGTTTTGCGTTATTCTCTGTTTTGGTGGTGCGATAAGGGAACATTGGGGGAAAACATCTTGCACACACTCGCAGCAACAACAGATGCGTTAACCTGCGTTTAAGAGGGAAGGATGCCTATTTGTTATCCTAACCCAGACACAAAGTTTTCAAGGGATTTTTTTTTTTTAGATTTTGCCACCGAAGGCTAGTTTTTTGCACCCCCCTGCTAAAAAAATACGGGATGGATAATGAAAACCCTTTAAAAAAGGGGGATCCCAACCCCATGTGACACCTTCGGGTCACTTGTTCATCTACGGAATTTGCTGCACCAAACCACCTTTAAAAAGGAGGTGAAATTGCTGACCAAAAATGTACAGAGAACCTTCACGGGCGCAAAACAGAATAAAACACCTCAATTACTGGGGGCGCTTTAGGTTCCTGAAACCCGTATTCCCCGGAACGCAGGCGGGAGAGATACATGATTTTAAAACACCTAAAATCCCAAGGGGCTAGTACCAACTTGAACACAAAAACATCACTACGAAAGCAAAAGACTTGGCAGACGAGCAACATCCCCCCCAATGAAAAGAGGGGTGTCACAGCAGATAAGAGACCATACAAAATGTCAGGGGCCCCCAGACTGTTTTAACTGCCTCCCAGCAACATAAAGGGGGGTTACCCCCAGCCCCCGGGAGTCTTCAAGCTGGCACTGGCAAGCCCCAAAGTCGGTTCCTGATCACCCGGGGTGTGGCTCGTACTTGTTTGCTCAGCCGCATAACAGCCCCGGTTGATCAGGCTCTGATCCACCAGGAGGCCTGGTCACAGACCGGCCGCGGGGGCGTTGACCCCAGAACTCTCTCCAGTAAACTCCAGGTAAACATCCAAACCTGTGGACGGTAGCGCAAAAGCATATGGATACACAAAAGGCCTAGGAACTAGGCCCCAAAGGGTTAACAGGAATACATATGGATTTATATCTACAAATCTATAGTTCACTTATCTGTTACAAGCAAATTTAGGAAATTTGCTTAGTATATCTGGTATCTTATTTTCATTAGTAACATATCTTGACATGTCACATAGGTTATTATACTATCTCTGTATTCCTCAATAAGTGGACAATTAAGCACATAGTGTTCAAGAGAGTGACCATATGCCTGATCACATAATTTACATTTAGTTTGATCATCATCTGTGTGTCTCCCAAACTGCCAGAAGTACTTGTAACCAAGCCTAAGCCTGGCCACTACAACATCAGTCAGTCCTGTTCACATTGCACGTTGCTCCATAGACACACTTACCTACGTTCATGTTATCATAGTGGGTTATAGATCTACTCAGGCTTCTAACTGCATTTCTATAACAATCATTTTCATTATTTACTTCTCTCCTAATTTTTTCCTAATGCTAGACACAGATATACCAAAGTTATATTCTACATTCTCCTTCTGGGTACTCTTCTTGGCTAACATATCAGCTTTATCATGAAGGAGAGAATCCAATGTGTGATGGGATCCATAGCAACTGTACATTAATTCCTTTGTCACTGATTTTTGACTATCTATACCTGGTTCTCTAACGAGCATGTTGATGTTGTTGGAGTCATTATATGAGTTAAGAGCATTCAGTGATGACATAGAATCAGTAATGATGATAGAGTCAAGCTCAGAGTCATAAGTTAGCTTTAGGGACAGCCATTAGATCCTACGTTTCGTTTTACATGCTGCCCTTGTTCACTTAGCAGTAGGTACTTGTTGTAGGGTCGCATCCTGGGAAGAAGATTAACTTATCCCAATGATTACATGGCTTTATTGGGTTATCCTGGTTTAATACCTTCCTTGGTTAATACCCGAATAAATCTTATTCGGGGATTGTCAAGGACCCCAATGGAAATAAATCACTTTGACTTTTTTGGGGTTATCCTAGGTAATGTACACTATGCTGATATATATGATAAGTTATGTAACTACATTTATGTGTACCTTAGACGGAGTTAGCAAATATATAATTGTTTACCCTAACAAAAATACCACGTACATTTCTGTTCTTAATATTTTTAAAATTGAATAAAGAAAATCATATTTAGTGATGGACTATTAATTTGGATAATGCGGTGTTGTGCACTCCCCCAATTGTGGTTGTCAAGGTCGAGTCGAATTTACTGACCCGACCTCTCCTCTGACCGCTACTGGTTTCACTTTCTCTCTGGCTGCGTGAGCCTTATCATACCAATTCTTAAAACTATGTATGGTATTCTGCTTCTGCCACATCGTTAAAACAGTTATTATATCATTATAATAAAAAAGAAGTGTATACCCCAAGGGTTATACAGCACAACAGGGCAGAGAAGGAGGCAGAAGAAATGGGTTGGTAAGAGGAAGAGGGATGATTATTAGGGTATGGAGTGCAGCGGGGCAGTGAAAGTACAGGGGTAAAGGGTAGCTAGAGAGTAAGGTAGAAAGGACAGAGGAGAGTGCTAGAGGCATCAACGTCTGAGTTTGTGTAGTAAATCGGTCGCTGTCAAAAAGTCAATGAGAGAGTCTGGATTAAAGGAGGGTCCATCAGCAAGAAGGGAAGGTAAAAAAAGGGCAGCAGAATGATGGGTCCTCTTGTTTACCTGGAGTAAGTGATAGCCAGCACTACCTGGCAGACCAGTAATCCGCCTGTGGCCTTGTCTACGTCGAGTCCAGTGCTTCAAGGCTCTGTCTGGCCACCCTCGGCCCCTCCTTCCTAGGCTCGAAGTTTCGAGTATGTGGGCAATAGAGGGAGACCAGAAGAGTATATAGTCGGGGGAAGCTACCTGGTGCCTGATACATTTGGTACATCGAAGGGAGCCTGGCAGAGACACGGTGTACCCGCGGTTTGATGGACACCTGAAATGGGCGGTACACATCGTGGGGAGAGGAGCGGAAGGTCTGCTGCTAGGGGAGGGAGGAGTTCATCCCGAGTACGACTCTCATCTTCTGCATCTGCAGTAGAAGCGAGCCAGCGAGCAAGTCACAGTGCCCCTTCGGTGAGTGGTTACTGGCATAGAGGTGGTGAGGAAGGCGGTGCTGCATGACTCTCTGTGTAACCTCACAATAACGGGGTGTGGCCTCCTTGCTTCTGATGTCTGACCTCACAATAACGGGTGTGGCTTCCTTGTTCCAGATGCCTGGCCTCACCATCGTGTTCATATAATCATAATCATATATTACCGCCTCATAATGACTAACTTGACCGTAATATATTCTCACCTCTCCATAATATGTCTAACCCCTTCATAGTATGTCTCACTTCACCATAATATGTCTTACCTCGACATATCATGGTTGACTCCATTATACCCTGGGGATACTTCCTGTAACATTATTATTCAAAAACTTTTTTGTTACCAAACTCCAGTAAAATTACTACAAAAAAATTATCGTTAATCATGTTAACCTCACTTATCTTTTGTTTGCCAGTCAGCACAAATATATTTCTAATTCGCGTAGTAAAGAAAACAGATGCTCAAAAATCAGGAACAAAGGGATTAACGTACAATTGCTATGGATCCCATCACACAGTGGATTACTCCTTCATGATAAAGTTGATATGTTAGCCAAGAAGAGTACCCAGAGGAAGAATGTAGAATACAACTTTGGTATATATGTTTCTAGCGTTAGGAATAATATTAGGAGAGAAGTAAAAAACGAAAATGATCGTTATAGGAATGCAGTTAGAAGCCTGAGTAGATCTATAACCCACTATGATAATATGAACGTAGATAAGTATGTCTGACTTTTTTGGGTTATC